AATGGATTTAAAAAATGTAATTTAAAGATATCCAATGCATTTGATCAATTCTCTCTCATTAAATCCAACATTTAAGTTATTAACTTGCATTCATGTTCATTGAATCATATATTTAAGTCATTTTTGTTTCTTCTCATCACTAAATTATATTAATTAAACCTATACTTAATAAATTAATAATTTCAATAACATAAAATCTTATATTTTAAAACCTACCTAGCAAAAATAGTGTTTTTATCTAGGCGGTGGTAAGAAATTAAATCATTCTTCGTCATATGGGTCAATCCATGTTGCCACAAATAATAAAATTAAAAAATAGATCAAATGGAAAAAATTAAAAATTTGAATAATTTTTAACATACATATTAAACAATAATAAGTATGATAAATAAGAAATATTTTTATTAATGATGGAAATGGATTGTAAAATTTAAAACCAATTGGAAATAAAAATATTTTCCTATTCTCTCTTATTAAATCCTATATTTAAGATATATTTTTCTTATCATTAAATTATTGTAATTAAATCTACTATATTAATTTTAATAGTATAAAAATAAATATTTTGAAAATTAATTTGTAAACAAAACTATTTTCTTCCCTCCCGGTGGTGGGTAAGCAATTCAACCATTTTGGGTCAAATGGATTAATAAATAATGTTATAGATAAATAACAAAAATTAAAATAAATAACTATGAAATGTAAGAAGTATTTTTATTAATGATGAAAATAGACTGCCAAATTCAAAATCTACCTAGAGATGAAATGATGTCATAGTCAAATAATAAAAAATATAAAGAATCACAAAAATAAAAAAAAAAAGATAGAGAAAATTTTGGGCACATATCTAATGTTATATATTTATAAAAAATACAATATTGGATACATTTCTAATATTGAACAAAAATAAGTTTTATACATAAGAAATAATTTTATCAATTATGGAAACGTAATACAAAATTTAATGTCAACCTAGAAATCAAACAATTTTTATTTTTAGTTGGTGGTGGTTTAAGTCAAATGGTACCATAGACAAACAAAAATTAAGTGTGATAAGTAAAAAATATTTTATATAATGTAAATGAAATATATAATTTAAAGGGAAAATTATTGTCAAAGTCGATTGTACATTTAAAATTAAGATGCCAGTTGGTCTAGAAACCAGCAAAACTCCGACAACTGGCTCTATATTTCAAATTATAGAAAACCCCCGCCATGTCATCAAAACCTTATGTGGTTGTTGTTAACATGGAACTCTTAGTCCATGTTGAACACAACAAAAAACCAATACCAAAAATAGGTTTTCAGTTTCTCTCCCACTCCCTATGTCTCTTGATCTCCTTCCCTTTTCTCTCACTCTCACAGTCATTTCTCGACCTCTCGCTCCCTCTATCTCTCCCACTCTCTCAACTTTGGTCTGTAGCCAAATGAAAAACTCTCTCTCTCTCTCTCTCTCTCTCTCTCTCTCTCTCTCTCTTCTCCCCTCACTCTCCCTCTTGGTCAAAATCTCCTTCTCCCACAATCTCTACCGTTCTCCAATTGGTGTGAAGATATCATTATTACTTGAAAAAAGAGAAGAAAAGTAAAGAAAAAAATATATTATATATGTTTTTTATTATATAATACATTATCATGTTGGGTTCGGGCTTAGGCCGAACTTTTATGAGAAAGCCCGAACCTGGCCGAAAAAAAGTTGGGCCCGATATTTTAGGCCCGAGCTCGAGCCTACGGGCCTGAAACCTTGTCCAAGCCCCAACTTAGATTGCGCTAGCCCATCGGGCTACCCAACCCATGAACATGTCTAATTAAGAGTCTCATGTTGGCAACAACCACATAAGCTTCTAATGACATGACAAGAATTATTATAATTTGAAATGTAGAGCTGTTTGTTAGAGTTTTGTTGGTTTATGAACCAGCTTGTAGCCTAATTTTAAATGTACAGCCGTCTCTGGATATAATTTTCACTAATTTAAAACTAATTCAAAAGCTAAGTTATTTTCTCTCTCCCCCCAATTTTTTTATCTTGTTAACTTTTCAAAAATTTTAAATAATTTCTATTAAACAATGAACCATTCTCTGGGTTAAACGGTTCAGCAATCAAACCATTTGGATCAATGATTCATTGACCAATTCAACGGTTTAGGGCTGAAAAGAAACTGGTACCCTTGCCTATTTCCGGGCCAAACAGTTGGACCATCAAATGGTTTTAAAACCATGATTTTACACCCCAAAAACAGTGGGGTCTGATCCAATTTAGGATAGACCCAAACACCCAGTCCCAACCCACAAGTAAACTTGTAGAAGCCATTCCAAATCAGACCATAACCAATTATAATTGATAGCTATATATTTTATCAAGGAACAGTTCGACTTAAAAGTTTAAGTTGTTAAGTGAGGTCTCTCAATATGTTTTTGTCCTCTAACATGCACCCTCGCCCACCCAAAAGTCTATTGAATTTAAGTGTGGACAAGTGCAGGTCCACCCATACCTTGTAATGAAATTTAATTTAACTAAATTGGGGGCGATGAAGATTATACATTTGATCAAACACGCTTTGATACCACATCAAGAAACAATTCAATCTAAAAGCTTAAACTGTTAGCAAAAGTCTCTCTGTAGACTTTTAACCGATAATTTCACAACAAGCAAACATGGTTGTTAAATTCAAAACGAAGCCTTTTCAAAGACTCTTCAGCTGGAATGCACGTGGGCTTCGACTTTCAATAAAAAGATAGATTCTTCCAGAAGCACATGCATGAAGAGGAGACTGAAAAGACTTAGAATTCTACCGAACAGCAGCATACCTTATTTGCAAGTTACCACCGACATGGAGGAGAGAGAAATGAAACTTTGGTGGGTTTTCTCAGGCTAAAGATGGGAATTACAGTGGGTCAGTTGGGATTTGGGTTGAAGGCAAAATTTTCAGCACTGAGATATCTCCAAAACTTGTCTATCTGGAGAGCTCAGGAATTCCAGCAAAGAAGGGGCATTCCAACGTGCACCGTGGAGCTTCAACACAGTTTTGTAGATGTGCTTCGACCCGTAAGGTTACTTTCATATATGATCCTTCCTTGGTCCCTTTCGTGTGCAAGTTGGACAGGTTTATGTAGTTGGGGTCAATCCTAAGCCAACCGAGCCCCCAATCCTAAAACTTTGGGTTGGGTCCAAGATCAACTCTTCTCTTCTCTCCCTTTTGCGAAATGTACTTATTTCCTCCATTGATCTTTTGAATCCAAATAGGTAGGGCTCCTTCCACAAACAAGGCCTAGTCAGAAAATCTATTGCACCATCAAGCCATTGGATTATAGGCAAGGTGCCAACACAGAGACACCAGTTACTGCAACTCCAACCTACTAGATTTAAGGTTGTAAACAGTATCTGTTTGTCTGAATTCAAATTTGATTCAGTTAGGAGTCATTTGAACTCGATCTATTTATAATTGAACCAGATATGGATGTGCCCTTATCTCATTCCGTCAAGAAACCGTTCAATTCAACCTAAAAGCTGACAATGGTTGAAAGTATTGATATATGTGATATGCAGAAATTGTGGTGTGATTTTTTTTTTTTTGGAATAGGTCAATTTCATTCATCCGAAGTCTCAGTTACAGGGGGAAATTGAGAAGTGAGTAACTGTTAAATATGGTCGTTCTTCATAAATCCATGTATTTGTTGTAGAACCCTGAAAGGCAATAAAAAAAGAAAGAAAGAAAGATAATACCTATCACAGTTCACAGTTCGATATATATTGATACTTTAAACCTTGCTCTAGCCTCTCGATAGAACACGTTGGAAGGACAAGACTTAGTTGAGTCTTACACCATCTGAGAACAAGTATCCCTCACACATGCAATAGGAAATGTACCAATTACCATTGTGTGGGAACTAAAAATTGGATTATACTTGCAAGAACCCATTGAAGTGAGGTATGTGGAAATAGGGAGATTGCCTTCAAGGTTATCGATACATATAGGCCGATACTTATCGTTCCGAAACCTCTCCAATACACCCCTACAGTGGGTGTATTGGGGGTCTGACTGATTCAGGGGGTAGAGGAATTCTAAACCAGTCCCCCTAAACCGGTTTTAAAAAAAAAATAAAAAAAAAAAAGTATCGATTCACCCGATACACCCCTACTGACATATCGAATGTATCCATATTTTGAACCTTGATTGCCATAATTAAGAACAAGTGTTGGTTAAGATCAGAAACATGGTTCAAAGTATTCATTGGGCTCTAAGTATCGCCTGATTTAAAGGGGCAATGTTGCTGATTCTTTGGGCTTCAAGTATAACTCTATTCCACAAATGGCCCTATCCATGTTCACTCCCCTCCCCCCACCATACAAGGTTCTGAGAGCTGTGGGGGCCTAGGTTGTGATAAGTAAGGGTGTCAATGGACTGGTTTTGGATTGGACTCGTCCAGTCCAAAATCAATTTGAATGGATTAGACAAGCCAACAAAACATATTGGACTAGACCAATCCAGTCCAATATATTTATTAGATTGGATTAAACCTGGTCCGTCCGTAACAAATTTATATTAGATTGGATTGGATTAAGCCAATATCTGTTCCATTGATATAAGATAAGAATATATGTACCAATGGACCGGGTTTAGGTTGAAACCAATCTATATCAAAATGAATTTGATCTGATTGGACGGTCCATATATTGAATTGGACCACTCCAAATTGGTCAAAACATTCATTGGATTGGATTGGACTGGACCTGATCCATTTATAATGGACTTACGAAATCCAGTCCAATAAACACCCCTGGTGATAGGAGTACTGTTGGGCCCTTTCATCAGAACGTAGCGTCCTAGCAAACAGATAAGCCAAATAACTCCAGCTTCCATCCAATGAGTGAAAGTAACAGAAAAATAACCACCTGCAGTGCTATTTCTAAAATTTTTTTTAAAAAAAAAAAGGAACCCATCTCCATTTTGATAATTTCTAAGATGCGCAACACCAGGTTTGTGTAGCTCTTTCTTCCTTGATTCATCAAAATAAGAATAATAATCTCCTTGAGCAATGGAGTGAATTGCCATTGTGAAAGTGGCATTGCTGATATTCATGTACAAATGAGAGTTGATTGCTAGAAACGGATTAGTTATTACAGAGATTAACTAGGATTAATCAAAATAGCATCTATCATTTGGCACCCAATCCTCGGGATTTTGGGAGCCTGACTGCAACCAATGGGTTAACCATACCTTGTGAATCTCTGCCCAAGCCCATGCCCTCGACGAAGCCCATCTTTGCCATCATCTTTGATCCAAACCCTTTCGTGTGCTTCTCAAAAGCCCTAAATTGTTCAGGTTTGGATCTGACAGTGTCATCATCGGTTTTTGAAAAGTTCACACCTAATCCTAGTGATTTGGGACGTTTAATAGCTTCTATAGGCTCCACCATTCCTTGGCCATCTTTTCCCAGCCCTCCCCCTTCAACAAATCCCATCTTTGCCATCATCTTTGACCCAAACCCTTTCGTGTGCTTCTCAAAAGCCCTAAATTGTTCAGGTTTGGATCTGACAGTGTCATCATCGGTTTTTGAAAAGTTCACACCTAATCCTAGTGATTTGGGACGTTTAATAGCTTCTATAGGCTCCACCATTCCTTGGCCATCTTTTCCCAGCCCTCCCCCTTCAACAAATCCCATCTTGGTCATCATCTTTGATCCAAATCCCCTTGTGTGCATCTCAAATGCTCCTAACTTGGAGGAGTTTGAGACATCCTTGCTTTCAATAGAGCTGTTATTCTTATTTGATTCAGGGGTTGTAATCTCCTCCACAACATCAACCCGCATGACTCCACTTGAGATAAACGACACTGGTTGATTGGCATACAAGGGGCCTCGTCTCCCGGTACGCTTCCTCCCACTTGGCTCATTGCTGCCGAGGTGGTTGGCCAACTTCTTTGACTTCCTTGGAAAAGACTGATGTGATCCTGGTGGACTTGAACCACTCAACTTCGTGACCTTTTTAGTTCTGCTTCTCTCAAATGTTTTAGGTTCTTCATTGACTGCAAAATCACCATACTCGTCCCCAACTCCCAGTAGCTGAAATTCATGATAAACAATAAAGGTCTTAACATTTTGAGACCAACTGGAAATTAAGAGAATCAAGTCTATCAAAAAATGTATTTGATATCAATATATTTTTAACAAAAGATGTGTATCTAGCATGTGTTCATGTTTTCAACTTCTAAGTGGCCACAATACAATTTAAATCACTTTAACCACCTTTTACTTACTAATCTTATCATTACAATCCACAATCCAGGTGACATAACATGTTTGGATTTCAACTGTGGAACCAAACCCAAAAGGCTTTGTGGCAATGCAAAATGCCACACCTTTTTAAATCTCAGGTCTAGCCCAATGCCTATTTTTTCACGGTCCTGATTCCATCAAGAAGCTATTAGGTGCTAATTCTTAATAGTTCCTCTAGGTGCTGATTCCTAGAGAAGCCTAGTGAAATTTCTGGGTTATTTTATCTTCCTTTTTTTTTATTTTGTATTTTGCAGACTTACCTTTCTCAGAATTGTTATCTTAGAAGAGAAAGAAGCATTATAAGGGAATGGCCTCCATAACAAGGGTATTCAGTTTTCTGAAATCTGGCAATCAGACACTAGACGTATCAGAGACACCAAAACTTCCATATGAGCTCGTGTTATTAGCATGTATCTTTTATTTTAACTACTATTTTTACAACATTCGTAATTTTACTGTCGAATAACCTGTATCAGTATTGAACGGAGGTGCATTTGTGTCCCTTTGAATGCTACATAGAATACTGTTTTGGCAAGACAATAAAAAGAATAAAAAATATGATATATGCAATTAAAAATATTTGTCAACAAGAGTAATGGGATTGGAACAGGTTAGACATGTACACTTGATCAACAAACCAAAGAAAGTTCATCAGATATGTAGAATACAGATACCTTTTCCAAGCGGAGTTTATCAGCTGAAGATGGCAAGCAAGTATGCCCAGTTCGTGTAATTGTGACAAATCTGAAAGTGGGGTAAAAAAAGTCATTCCAATAATGAAGATTAACCATAAAGTTCACTGTCACTGTGTACCCTCATATGTACTATTTGCAAAGAATGGGTGATGGACAAAACTATTAGCACAATATCACAAGTTCCACGTCTAAAACTGCTGGAAATGGCTGATTAAAGCCACAAAGGTAATCAAGTTATCAAGGGGCATATCACCTCAACATGCAAAACACCGAGACTAGTAAATTTGACAGTCTTGAGTATGTACAACTCGTAGACCTTTATCATGTTCATAAGTTCCTGACTGACAAAGTAAATGAGTTAATTTACATGTCTAATCTTAAACCGCATGCAGGTGCAGCAAACAATATTCCAACCCCTGAAAATAAAAAATAAAAAAAATTGATCACTTTAAAGGAGAACGATAATAAAAGAGAGTGGAGGGGGAAGAAAATTATGATTTCCCTTATGTGTCAATTTTTCTTGATTCTAATTTTTAGTACTGTATTTATCTGATCATTGGAAGGAACGAGAACAAATAATGCTATTATTAGCTTCTCAAAGGAAATCGAGATGGCTCCATGGTTCTCAAGTGAAACAGAGATGAATACAACTACATTTCAACACTAGTCCAAAGTTTGCAGGGAACGTGCAGAAACACCTTAGGGAAAAAATACAGGTAAAACAAAAGCAATTCAGTAGAAGTGTATCATGTCAATTAAGCATTTCTAAGCTCCCTAGTCCTTTCAGTAGTATTTGGGGCAACACTTCTAGGGCATTAACCATTACATGCTAACTCTGCCCAGCAAGTTACCCCAGATAGATTGATAAAAAAGATAATCATGTAATAAAATTACTGGCAGTGTCTTGGTTTTATTCTTTCAATATGGTTAAATAATTCAAAACAAATCAGCAGTCTGTTCAGTGCACTGTAGGGGTAAGTCCGCTGGCTGTTTCTTTGGGGTTTAGTAGGTCTCATGGCATTCTTCAGGATCTTGTTTTTACATGGCTGTTTTTTCTTTTTTTTATTGAAGTTGGATTACGGAGTACACTGAGGGTTCTTTTTTTTTTTATTGGGTCCAGAGTGATATTTTTTTATGTTGCTTGTATGGGTTTTCTCCATTTTCCACGTTCTTATTACCAAATATCATTGATAGTTGGGGAAAATTTGCAAAACCCTGAGGATCCAGGAAAATGGGTGGGAAAAACTGCATTAGAACAAGCATAGTTTAGCAACAATCTTTAATAGTAATAGATTCAATTCATAATCCTGTGATTAAGTTGTATTATGCCCCTCTAATAGATTTCGCAGGATCCTTGCAAAGATTGCTTAACATGTAAAAGAATCTAAACTTTTTGAGATCCTTTTGTGGGGATGGGGTGAAGAAGATAAATTTCAGGTTAATGATGGTTATTTTTGTAATGATTCAGTCCCATCTCCAACCCAACCAAGTATTGTACATTACCGAGGACATTTTTCAGAAGGATGGTCACATTTCCGTTTTTAGTTCTTAGTTTAAAACTTCACGTATGAAAAGTTATTTGATCAAGGGTTCAGCATGTTTTCTTCTTCCCTCTGTTTTCTTTTCTAATCTGTACTTCAGATGAAATCAATCACCTTTAATGAAGAAAATTGAAAAGAGGTAGAAGGATAACCAAGCCACAATCAACTAACATGACTGAAGAAATCAACCATGACGCCAGAAACAGGATTTTTCATTTGCCAACTGGGAGTCATTATTATATGTTACTTTGTAACCCTATCTTCCATAATTCTATTAGGCCCATTTTTACAAAACCCCTTGTTTTAAAAGGAAAGATAAACCCTACTTTTTTTCAGCAAAGACCTATCATTCCCCAAGTTTGAGAGAATGTCTCCAACTACAACACATCCAAAGTAACAAATCTAGGTGGAAGAAACCTTAGATCAACAAATAGATCAAACATAGTGAGTTGAGTAATAGCACTACAAACAACAATATTCTCTGAATCAAGGAAAATAACTATGAAAAGAGGGGGAAAAAGAACAATGGTTTAATACCTCTTCTTGCCAGAACCTTGACAACCACTCCGTAAGCGATAAATTGATGCCAGCTTTTGTACCTAAATATATTCAGTAACAATTATATACTAAACTAGAAGATTGATAAAAGAACAGAGAATATTGTAATAGATACAGCAAAGAAAACAAAACAGAAAATTAAAAAAAAAAAGTTACTATATATGTTTTGTGAGTCAACACAAGTCTCTCATAGTTGTCCTAGGCAACAAGGCGCCCTTGGAGGCTCGCCTCACCTAAACACCAAGCAGTTTTGTATGTTGTGTTATAAAATACTTTTATATGCTTAATTTTTTAGATTATAATTATAAATGGACATTATTAAACTAAAATATTCGTTTTGTGTGTTTATATAAGAATTCTTTTTATTATTTTCTTATTTTTTTAGGGTTTAATCAACACAAACATTGCTAACTGCTGTATTGAACCCTCAAAGACTTCAAAACCTGAAACAGTAAGGAAGAACTAAAAATTTTGTTTAATCAACACATTTTCTTCTTCTTATTTCACCTTTTCTTTTCTTCTTTTCCTATAACAAAAATAGGGGTTCAGCCCCTATTTTTTTTGAATTTTTTTTTCTTTCTTCTCATGAATATGTTGATTTTCTATACTTTAACATGAAATATATGCTTTTCTTATGAAAATTATGGATAATTATTAAGGAAATATGGTTATAGAACCTAGGGAACTACCCTAGGATATATTTTCTTTAATTAAGAAAGTCCATTGCCCGGGCACCTGCCTAGGCAACAAGGCACACCCCTGTTGCCTTGGCACCTTGAAAACTGTGGTGTCTCTGTGCGTGTGTGTGTGTGTGTGTGTGTGTGAGAGAGAGAGAGAGAGAGAGAGACAGAGAAAGCACTAAATCTTTTTTATTGTCAACAATGAATTTATCAATTCATAATCAAAGATAAGCACATTAGCAGAACAAGAACCCCTTGACCCCAGAACAGGGCAGCAGCAATGTTTAAAAGGTGTAATGCTCATTTTGAGGGGTACACAGCATGCCTCATCTATGCCCCCAGTGCACCTTACCTGGCTCATTGCCATGTTATAATGAACTAAACTTAAATTTGATCTTGATTAGGTAATATATTATGTTCTACGATGATATGATGTTTAGGATTGAACAGTTTAGCCTATAATAGAACTTTAACACAAGGCTATAATCCTTATATTTTTTGATAATTGAATATAATCCTTATATTAATAACATGTTTTCTAAAATATATTCAATTAAGTTAATAGGTTTTCTGAAATATATTATTTCTTTCAAAATTTAGACTTGCATATTCTTGTATATTAAGTTTCCGTTTTTCGTTCTTTTCAAAAAGTGGCACCTCACTCCTGACCTTGCACCTTACACCTCAGGCTCTAGTATTGCTTTTAAAGCACTAGGCTGCATACAATAAAACTTCAAAATTCACCAACCCACTCAACAGTAGATAGAGTTACCCCCAGGAAATGCATTAAACTAAGGACAAAATACAAAGAACTACCCTGTACTTTGGAGGTATTGAGACTTAGGTCCCCGAACTTTCATTTGCAACAGAGAGCTACCCTATATTTTCAGATTCCAACACTCTGAACTCTGTTCCCATCAACACTCTGCACACTTATTTTTATGAGACCATTTTACCCTCCTTTAATGTTGGCTGGCAGATGTTCTACCTTTTTCAACTCTCCTTTGTCTCTCTCTTAAGCAAATGATATGAAAAAAGAAAAAAAAAAGAATACAAAAAGTTCAAAACCTGGGTTTTGGAGATGCAACGAAAAGAGAGGGTAAATGGTCTCATCAAAATTCAAAACTGATGGAATACTATAACAGCGGGAGCAGAGTACTGGAATCAAAAGTAGAGGGCAGCTCCCTGTCACAAATGAAAGTGTCGGGACCTAAGTGTCACTATCCCCAAAGTACAGGGTAATTCTTTGTATTTTACCCTTAAACTAAATATGAGAATACAATAGAAACATTAAAGAGTTTGATTTAGTGATAGCAGTAGTGGCATTTGTCTTGCTGATGAAAAACCAAAAACAAATAGACTAAATGAATGATGGCTTAGAACCAACAGCTTAATTGAAGTGTCACATCCAACAAGAAAAATCACCACTAAATTTTTTTATCAATATAAAAGAATCACCATTATGTTCACAAAGCAAAATTATTATCAACACAATCAAGACCACTTGTGTTATTAGACATAGAAGAAGACATGCCTAAGAAGGTTCAAACCATTGATATTACCAAACAATAGTTACAAAATTTCAGTAATTTTTTAGTGGAAAATTAATTTCAATAAATATAAATTTATTTTTTATATTTTCAGTAATTTTGATATTTACTATAACTTTTGAGCAATATTTAGTGATTTTGTTAATTTAGCGAAACTTAAATTATAAAACTTCCAATTTTTCAAATAAATAATTGGAAATTTTTAATAATTTCCATAAGTATTGGATACTACATTTATAATTACCATAATTAATGGAACTATATTTATGGGTTTGCGGGGTGTTATAGGTTTAGGGGATGACTCCTAGGGTAGGAATGGCAATGGGCCAGTTCGGGGCGGGGATCATACTCCCAATCCCGACCTCAAGTTTTAAATTAGTCCCTGTCAAAAATTCTAGCCTGCATCCCTGGTCCTCAACAGAGAGGGTTTCCCCATCAGGGACCTGAATCCCTGAATTTTTAATTAAAAGTTTGTTTTTAGAAAGGTATTTATTTAAAATAAAGGTAAAAATAAAATGCAAACAATATTTTAAATATATTTTGATATATATAATATAAATAATATATTATTTATATATTAGTCCCTGTCAAAAATTTTAGCCTGCATCCCCAGTCCTCAACAAAGAGGGCTTCCCCATCAGGGACCTGAGTCCCTGAATTTTGTAATTAAAAGTTTGTTTTTAGAAGGGTATTTATTTAAAATAAAAGTAAAAATAAAATGCAAATAATATTTTAAATATATTTTGATATATAATATAAATAATATTATATATTTAATATAATATATACACATATATTTAATATATATAGTTGGGGTTGGGATGGGGTGTGGACTTCACTCCCTCTCCCGACGTCCCCAATCAGGTATTCCTATTAATTCCATCCCCACCCTATCTCCACTAAGGCAATTCTCCATTCCACCCCTACCTGATCGGGGAAACCAGGTACTTGGCGGGGATGGAGAAAATTTCCATCCCTACCCCTAGGAAATGTAGCTCCATAGAACGATAAGTTTTAAGTCCAATTCTATGCATTGCACGGGGGCCCGCTAGTAACTAGATAAAAAAGGGCAGCCAAATCCACAAGGCTCTCACCAATGCAGGGTTTGGGTAGGAGAGATGTGCACAGCCTTACCCCAGCAGACACAGAGAGGCTGTTTCCAAGATTTGAGCTCTGTTCACCCAGGTTGCAATAGAGCAATCTAGCTATTGCACCAAGGCCCACCCTCAACCAGATAAATCCTTGCAGTATGATGCATTTCTGAAGTACTTCTTTACTTTGATAAAGCATAGAACAAATGTCCCATATGGTTGTGACAAGGCTTAGATGATAGAAGATGAAATACCACAAGCAACAAATGTTTTAAAACTAACTAAACAATCAAAAAGTTTTAAAACTAACAATGCCAAATAAAACGCTACATGGACATTTGTAATGGAATTTCTAATCTCACCTTTTTTTTGCTAAACTAATCTTGCCGTGTTAATTCTTCAGTTTAATAGAACCTAGGGAACCTTGTAGTCTATATAGGATCTGTCTTAACCTAATTCTAGATCATGAAAACCAAACAACAAATACAAGCATTAACCATGTGGCTTTTGGTCATATATCCTACACAGGTTCTAGTTGAGAAGTACCTGGGAACAATCATGTGAATGCATTGGTAGGAATGATAATATGTCGACCTCATTCAGGACCATCTGCCTTAATTTCTACAAAGTTAAAAGCATACAACTGTTAGCTACTCAAGAATGTGCATCCACTAAAACAGGCATAATGCAACTTACAATTAGAACTAGTAAAGCAAGCTAAAAAATTACTGGTTTCTCATGCAAAGGATGAAAATATAAATCTAGTTAAGTGACATAGAAGGAGCAACTTGTTGTGTGACGACATCTTCCAATATAGCATGAATAATAATAGTCGAAGACCCAGTAGCACTAATAGAAGTTCAGTTCTTACTGAAACCCTTGAACAACAAATTAATCCTTAGTATGCTGGAAATCATCTCATTGCTGTAGGGTGAAAAATTACAGGATTTAACACTGGTTTGGGTCAAATTGAGTTTACTGGTCTCAAAACTATGGAAAATAAGATCTATGTTTTCCCCCTGCTACTGGTATCTATAAATCCCAATTGATTGTTGTTGCTGATCAGAGAAAGAGGTGACCAAATTGCAAAACCAAAAAGAGAAAAGTTATAGTGCCAAAATTAGATCATTGAGCCCTGTTTCCTTGTGCTTTAGATCCAGCACAAACAACTAAGTAGTAAGTATCCTAAAGTACCTCACCAAGAATAGAAGGTTTTCTAGGCATTCCACCTAGAGAGAAAGCATGGCACCTTGTAAAGGTCAGGCATAAACTCCAAATAAAAGAAAACAAGCTAAAGGTAAACTTTTATTCTAAACTCCATAACCCCTTGTACAACAATAGTATGAACCTGAACAAACTTATTTCTATATTCTCAAGACCAATAAAATCTCAAGATATACCCATAGGAAAAAAATGCAGAACACTAATTAGTAAAAGACATTCCAAAAAATTCTTAATTCATTATTTTTTTTCAAAGTTAAAAACTAATCCATTTATAAGGATAAAATAGTAAGAAAACAAAAAAAAAAACAAATTCCGAAAAAAATGAGCTAGATCATAATCTTAACTCTTTTTTTATAAGTAAAAGTGGTTTTGGAACCTTTTTCTCTCCAATCAGTGCATTCATTCTTCACAAAAGACTTTTCCACAAAAACAACCCTTTGCATAAACATCAATCACATCCAAGGAATGGATGCTCTCCAGTAATAACTTTTTATCAAAATTAATCTTAAACCAACAAGAATTTATTCACGAATCCAGATAACCCAATGGTAAATCTCAATCATAGAACCAGATGTACAAAAATCAGCTATAAGGCCCATAACTCAATCAGTTCATGTTCAAACCACATGTGAATGGCTACTTTGTGCAAAATTTTCCAAAGGTTAGATCCATATCCAATTCACCCTTCCCAAGAGGCCCAGACCCTACATATCTAGGATCAACATTTCGGTAATGATTTTTTTTTTATCAGTAACAGAAAGCTTTCATTCATTTAAAAAAAAAGTTTAAAATACAATGGTGGGGGGAGGTAAACCCTCTTACCACACCCCCAAAAGGAAATTTACAGAGTAGCCCAAAACAATTGACTTCTTCCCACCCCCTGTTTGGCCAAAGCATCTGCAAATGAATTAGCACATCTTTTAACCCACCAGACATGCACATCCATTCCTTGGGACTTGGGTTAGCCACTTGAAATGCCTTCGTTCATTAATGTATGCCCATAACCCATCGTTTGCCTTCTCTATCCAGCCAGTTACCACTTGCGAATCTCCTTCGATAATCAACCTATTTATATTCAACTCCTTAGCCCTTTTTACCTCCTCCAAGAGGGAAAGAATTTCTGCTCTCATCAAAGTTGAGTTTGATAAAATCTTCCATCGGGGGGAGCTGGACATTGATTCTGCTAGGAGCCAAGACTGCTATTTCCTGCCAATTGTTCATGATGGTCTCTATTGAAGTATCCTCAAATAGGTTCATTGTTTTTACCCATTGTGCTACCCTCAAAGAAACCACTTCTATAATTGTGTCCCTGCTATTTCCTGCCAAGTGCACCTCCACAAGATTTTTCCCCTCTTTTTGATCCAGCTACCAACTGAATAGGTGAAGAGGCTTTGAATGATTGATGGGGGAGTCCACCTACAACCAAATAAAGAGAGAAACCACTCCCAAATAGATGAAATAAAAGGGTAGGATAATAAGTAAATGAGAGCAAGACTCACCATCGGCTTTACAAAGGGTACACCAGTGTGGGGACAAGCACCAAAAAGGTTTCTTTTTTAGAAGATGATCACAAGTATTAATTCTTTCCAAAGCTATTTCCCAACAGAGTGCTCCAACCCAGGTGGGACCAGTCTTCCCCACACTTCTTTAGAAGGGAAGGGAAAGGCAAGAGTAAGAGAAGAATGGGTCAGGGCATTGAAAAAGGAGGCACAACTGAAAGAGCCAGAAGAGGAAAGGGTCCAAATTCGGGAATCCCCCTTTGATGGTTCTAAGAAAACCTTTTGAAGTACATCAGGGACCACCAGTGTTTTAAAAGCGAAAGGTGCAAGGGCCATTTTGTGCTTGAGGCACAAGGCACAAGGCGAAGCGCGCACCTTTTTGAGGCAAGGCACAATTAAAAAAAAAGTCAAAAATCCAAAAAAAAAAAGTCAATTCAAAAAAAAACATAATATTAATAAAAATATAAACTTAAATTTTAAAATAAATGTTTTAAAAAACCTACTATCTAAAACTAAAATACATAAATATAATATGTAAAGAATATTCAAATGAGAATTTAAAAATGAAATCAAACATATAAAACATTTTCAAGCATATAAAACCCACAATCTCTCTTTTCTTAATTAAATCAAATAGCTAATGTGACATATTACATTCCTAATTCTACGAGCCGCCTTTGTGCCACGTCCCTCGAGGCAAACCCAAACAAGTCCATGTTAGGGTCTTAAATTCTGAGTTTTCACACAAAAAATAAAGATTTTATAGTTTTAATTGCTTTTAAGAAGATATTTTATTAGGATGAATGAATGGACAGCATTACCAAATAGGGGGTTCTCGAAGCTTCAGTGGGGACCACACCAACTCCATCTCAGATTCTCTGAGACCTCGTCTGAAACCCAAATCCCAATTAAGCTGATGTCCTGGGCCAACAGAAGAAACTAAAGATGAGGTAGTTATGTTTTTGTACCTAGAAAGAGAGAACAGGAAAGGGAATTGATCCTTAAGTGGTGTCTTCCCCACCCACACATGTTCCCAGAACCTTACCATATTTCCAGAACACAAATTATACTTGACAAAGGGTGAAAAACAAGGAAGAATGGCATGGATGGCTTTCCAAGGTGCTGTTGCTGATGCTCTAGCCAAAATTCCTTCGTCCCAGTCATCTACCGTCAGCCCATAAATGCTCTTAATCACTTTTGTCCACAGTTTGTCTTGATCCACCTGAAATCTCCATAACCACTTACCCAACAAGGTTCCAAATGTTTCCAATTCCTAGACCCCCTAGCTCCTTACTTCTAATCACCATTTCCCATCTCACCCTATGATCCCTCTTTTCCTCTCCTGGTTCCCATAAGAAATCCCTCGTTATCTTCTCCAGCCTTCTACAAATCCCTACAGGCATCCTAAAGACCGAAAGAAAATAGACTGGCAGATTTGCAATGTTGATTTGATCAATGTAATTCTTCCGCCCATCGATAGATAATTCCTTTTCCAAGAAGCAAGCCTTTTTGAGAATCTATCCACCACCGGGTTCCAAAAAGTCACGCTTCTAGGGTTGCCCCCTAGAGGTAAACCCAAATAATTCATAGGCCA